ACTTAATTACACCACACAGCACAGCACAGTGATGAAAAATACTCCATCCTCCCTAAATATTACTCTTCTTGCAGCATCCACTTTCTAAAAATGGGAAAATGAACCTTGTAGTGCTCTCTGAAGATCAACAAATTCAGACTATTTCTGATGAAGTGAGTGGAAGCAAGTTTCTAAACTCTTGATCATTGTTGGAGAACACCCTGCCACCAGCAATTATCAGTAGCAACTTAAAGATCTGCTGCCATCAGCATAGACACTTGGTGGCAAGAACTGAACTCAACAAAATGATGAAGATTTACACTTACTGAGGAGGTCTGGCCATTGATGTTTATCCATTGCTAGGAGGAGATTCTGAACCAACCATGTGTCACACACCACCTCCATATTGGGGCACATAACAAAATTTATTCCGCAGATGGGTGGGAAAAATTAGAGGGAACACTGGTCACAATCCCAGTTTAATGGGGTCACCAGGGCCGGCATTAGACTTGCTGGGGCCCTGGGTTGAAGCCTAAGCCCCATACCCCCAGGGACAAAGCTGAAGCCTGAGGGTTTCAGCCTCAGGTTACAGCCCCCCCCCCCCCCCACACACACACACCTGGGGCTGAAACTATAATCAAAATTTAAATATCTGTGTTGGCTCATAAAATAACTGGCATAAAACACTGGCAAAGGAAGATCCTTCCTTTTGTTTGTAGATGATTGGGACAGGACAAGAATCTCTCTCTCTCTCTCTCTCTCTCTCTCTCCCTCTTGTAAAAGGTTGGATGAGACCAGAAGACCCTTGAAGTTGGAAATTTAAAGTTCCATAGGGAAATAATCAATCAGCTGGGGGACAGCCCCCCAAAAGTCTTAAAGGGAAAATGGCATTAAGATGTCATGCCAAATTGCAAACAGACAAGCAACTGCATAAATACTAATTGCTCAGTGAGAAACTCACTGTAGTCTACACAATGGTTCTCTATCAGCTTTTCTCCTGAGCTTTGATAAACCAGGCATGCATTCATTTATTCGGGTTGTCAAGGTTCCTCCCCCACTCTGAACTCTAGGGTACAGATGTGGGGACCTGCATGAAAAACCTCCTAAGCTTATCTTTACCAGCTTAGGTCAAAACTTCCCCAAGGTACAAAATATTACACCCGTTATCCTTGGAATGGCCGCTACCACCACCAAACAATTACTGGTTACTGGGGAAGAGCTGTTTGGACGCGTCTGTCCCCCCAAAATACTTCCCAAAACCTTGCACCCCACTTCCTGGACAAGGTTTGGTAAAAAGCCTCACCAATTTGCCTAGGTGACTACAGACCCAGACCCTTGGATCTTAAGAACAATGAACAATCCTCCCAACACTTGCACCCCCCCTTTCCTGGGAAATGTTGGATAAAAAGCCTCACCAATTTGCATAGGTGACCACAGACCCAAACCCTTGGATCTGAGAACAATGAAAAAGCATTCAGTTTTTACAAGAAGACTTTTAATAAAAAAATAGAAGTAAATAGAAATAAAGAAATCCCCCCTGTAAAATCAGGATGGTAGATATCTTACAGGGTAATTAGATTCAAAACATAGAGAACCCCTCTAGGCAAAACCTTAAGTTACAAAAAAGATATACAGACAGAAATAGTTATTCTATTCAGCACAATTCTTTTCTCAGCCATTTAAAGAAATCATAATCTAACACATACCTAGCTAGATTACTTACTAAAAGTTCTAAGACTCCATTCCTGTTCTGTCTCTGGCAAGAGCAGCACACAGACAGACACAGACCCTTTGTTCCTCTCCCTCGTCCCAGCTTTTGAAAGTATCTTGTCTCCTCATTGGTCATTTTGGTCAGGTGCCAGCGAGGTTACCTTTAGCTTCTTAACCCTTTACAGGTGAGAGGAGCTTTCCCCTGGCCAGGAGGGATTTCAAAGGGGTTTACCCTTCCCTTTATATTTATGACACGGGTACCTCCACTTAAACCTCTGTCACTACCTAAGGGTAGAGTAGAAACAAATTGAGACAGTAGGCTATCTATGTCCAATGAGCGGAATGCCATGAGAACTTCAGTTGTTACTATATCCTTAAAGATTATTATCCCCAGTGTCTACCAGACTTGGGAATGGGGTGGCATAATATGCAGAAAGATAAATTCTCTGAGGCAAAACATAGAATTTTACAACCTAAGTGTAATAGAACGTATTGTGCCATCAGCAAAGGCTACGGAGTTCCATGTGATTAAAATAAAAAAGGAGCCAAGAATATGCCTTTAAGTACCATTTTAGCTGTAATAATTTTTGTCTCTTAGCATTTATGTTGGCCATCAGGAAAGAGACAGGCTGAAAGCTGTTCCATAATAATATGAATAATAATAATGAATACTGCTTCTCCCATTCTCCATTATGCTTTTATTTCCAGGGTTTTTTTTTTTCTCCCAAAATAAAATAAAAAAGTGTTCAAGGTTCATATCAGTTTTCTGGGTAAACTGGAAATTAGTTCTGGAATTCTGATACAGAGTTGAATGTTGGGGAAGAGATCTTTCACCAGTAAATTCACCTTAGGAGGACATTAATGTCTATCGAAGGGAGAAAGCTAAAGAAAGAAGAACATCCCATAGGTTGTTGTCACTTTCCACTCAACCATGTAAAGTGTGCCCTTTTCAGAACTGCAAATCCAGTGAGGACAGGGAGGTTATTCAGCCCATGGAAAATCCTTCTGTTTTCCCATCAACAATCTGTATTGTTAAAGCTTGCTTGGTTGCTATCCTACCATAAAGATGAGTTTTGAAGGGAAGTTAGTGATGGCTGTCTACCTGTTATCCTCTGCACAGAGAGAGAGAGAAATTGTTTAATGGACTGAGCCCAGCCTAGGAACTCCTTCAGATTAATCCTCCTGGCTCTGAGACTGACTTCTTCTGCCCCAAAACCACTGGTCACTTAGCATCTCTGCCTCAGTTTCCTCAACTATCAAATTGGAAATATTACTTACCTACAAGAACTGTGCCTATTACAATTATTTCTTTAGGGATTAATTTTAAGGCTGGGAAAAGATGTTTTAGCCCAGCCCAAAATGATTGTATCTGCACTGTGGGTAGTGATATCCTCTGGTCTCAGTGTTAGATTTCTTCTCATTTAATATCTTAAGGCCAGATTGTGCTTCTTGTAAACAAGATGAGGGAGATGGCAGTGTCTTTGCTCATCTTTGCTCCATTGTGCATCTACATAGGGGCCAGTGCAGGGGTTTGCTCTTCCTAAGCAAAGTGAGGATGAGATGGGTAACACAAGTCTTTGCTTTGTTCAGAAATTGTTCTTTACTCTGAACCAGTGAATTGCTGAAGTGTAAAAGTGGCTCATGTCAGTCAGAAACCATAGGATTATAAAAAATCCATATATGTGTGGAAGAGAGGTGCTGCAGGACAAAAATTGATCAAGGGAGGGTTTGGAGCTGCTTGGGGAAAACATTTTAAAGAAGGTGGGAAAGGGTATGAGCCCTTCTGATGTTGGTGGCTAGTTCATACAACGTGTTTGCTGATGCATTAATATGCCAGAAGGCTCCCGCTGAGTTTGGGGGAAACATCATAAGCCTGCTGTAATTTTGAAAGTTTATTTAGACCACGGTTCTTTTTTACTTTTGTCACAGCTTCTGGTTCTTTTTGTTCTCTACCCATTTCTCCACTGGCCCAGTTCCTCTTCTGAAGCAGCTTTAATCTTTTTCAGTTCAGACACCTGCAGTCTGGTATTTCAGATTCCACACGTGCCTTTTGGTGTTCAGCAAGCAGGAAAATTATACAGTGTATGAGAGATGAGTCCAGGAATAAAATACCCTTAAATGAACACCAATGTTATTTTTTCATATACTGATTTATTTTGTGATTAAACATTTGCAATTTTGCATGTGTAGATTTATAAGTACATTGGTTACCTCACAAACTTATCTTTTTGCAGAGTTTGTAGCAGAGATGACTTCCAGCCATGTAGTTCAGATTCAGGTGTAGATTCCAAATGCTCCAGGGGTTTGGTTTGGTCCCTATAAAGAGAGGAATAATTTTCAAAATACGATTTAGAAATACCAGCTAGGGTTTCATACACACACCCCCTCAAATTCAAAGGACATTTGGATCTGGGGTTCTATGGCTCTGAATAATTTTTTAGGGGGAAGAAAGGAAATGTCTGGTGGAGCAGGTTCACCCCGAATATACAGCATACACATACATGTAATTTTGTACAATATGGTGAATTCAAGTGGGCAAAGCTTTTTCTATTCAAAGAGGCTCTAAATGATCTTAGGCAAGGATTGCTGTTACCTAACAGCAAGGAAATCCTCCTGTCCTTCCCCCTCCACCCTATGTAGCCCCCCTTCAGTGTCAATGCTGCTTTTGGACTAGATTGTGGCTTATGCTATGCAGCCATGCACAAGAGTAAGGGGGTGTAAAAAGCATCCCTTACTCCCCTGTGCTGGCTACCAGAATTGTTGTTAGCAATGCAGGTGGGAAAGCAGCGTTGCAGGGTCACTAGTCTCCCTCCTGCACGTGTGTGTGGTGTCGGTGGGCAGGGTTAGGAAGTGCCTACTCCAATGCACCAGCCAGCACAGCTATGCCAGGTATATGGCTGGTACAGATTACTTCCCTTCTCCACACACACAGCAAGCACCACCAAGTTCCGATCTTGTACCCAGTCTGCTCCAGAGACAGTGCAACTATGTACTGCCCCTTTATACAGGACTTGTGATAAAGGTGTTATCTAGCCCTTTGTGGTTTTCTAAACAAAACATCCATTTTGGGGTTTATTTGTTTGCTTGTTTTGTTGGTCAAAATTTTGAATTAGATGTTTTCCAGTCTTTAAAATCCCTCTTAGATGCCAATAAATTCATTGTTTGTTGGTGACTCTATTTGTTATGAGCTCATGTGGTATAATGAATGTACTGTGTTCAGATGAAACAAGCCCCATATTGAGTTAGTGTTGTTAGCAATGTACCAAAGGGAACAGAATACATTTTCATCATTTGTTTCTCTTTCTTTTCAGAGGTGTTCACGGTCATTTCAGTGGTAAGCGCCCATGGGCTTTAGGAGATGAGTGCATCGTGGAGCTTATGGCTGATATTGTGGGTATGTGTGAGCCAGAGAGAAAACTGTTTTTGAAAAAGTGTAATTTTTTGTCTGGTGGTGGAGAACCCAGAAACTTTACATCTAAAACTTAATTCTCAGCACTTTGTTTCACAGTAGTCTTTCTGACTGCTCAATACAGAGTACAACTTATTTTAAGATCTATATGTGATTCAGGAGATGAATGTGGACGATAATATATGACCATGAGTATATCCTGAAAGTAATTGCAGTGAGGGCTTCTGGGATCATCATAAACCACTTGCTATTATATATGAAGCCAAAGCCCTTCTTAAAGGGCAGTGAACATCATTTCATTTCTCTTTTAAAGGGAGAGTTGGAGTGAAACAATGATAATTCCTTTGGTTCCAAAGCAAATGATTGTCTAGATGTTTCCTGCTTTTCCTCCTTGTCTTGCCTACATGCTCAGGGTCTGACTGATTGCCATATTTGAGGTTGGTGAGGAATTTCCACCCCCAGGGTAGATTGGCAGAGACTATGGTGATTTTTTTCACCTTCTTCTGCAGCATGGGTCATGGGTCACATGTTGGTTTAAATTAGAGTAAATGGTGGATTCTCTGTAACTTTAATTCTTTAAATCATGGTTTGAAGACTTCAGTACTCATCTTATGGGTCTATTTCAGGAGTGGGTTGGGTGCGGTTCAGTTGGCAGCGATGTGTAGGAGTTCAGACTAGATGATCATGATGGTCCCTTCTGGCCTTACAGTCTATGACTCTGTGATCTAGCATGAAACCCTGCCCCATGTTAAGAGTTGTTTACCTCATCAGCATGGGGGCAGAACCAGCTGCCAAAAAAGAATATTTGACTTGCACCTCTTGTGAGCACCAATCCCTTCATTGCACCCCTCTAAAGAATCTGCCAGGCTGAACAATGAATACACCTGATTATTCTAGAGTTAGTGTGGTGGTAGCCATGTTGGTGCCTGGATACTAAAAATACAAGATGGGTGAGGTAATATATTTTATTGTACCAACTTGCTGCTGGTGAAAGACAAGCTTTCAAGCTACACAGAGCTCTTCTTCAGATCTGGTGAAGTTACTCAGTGTCAGAGCTAAATATGAAGTGGAACAGATTTTTTTAGCATTAGTACTTAACAGACATTCTAAGAGACCACTCATGGTGAGTTGCCCTGTTAACACCTTTGCAGTCATAGGACCAAAAAAAATGGGGTTAGCGAGTTACCGGTTGTTGCAATAAACCATAAATCCGGTGCCTGTGTTAACCCCATGATTTTTCATGTCTAACAAAGTTAGGAATCTAAGCTCCCAGGCTCATTTTTTGAAGGTGTTGTGCAGGGGTTTTTTTTTGTTTTTTTTTTTTTTTTTGAGATCAAGGACTGAGAAGTCAGATCTGGATGGATCATTTTGTGAAAAGTATTCAGCCACGGCTGATATGGTGTTTTTGCCTTATAATTTTTGTATGTGAATTCATTCAAGAGTGTAGTGATAGTTGTTGTTTGGGGGCATTTATTTCACCTGATGAGGTACACCACATGTTGTGATAGGCATATGTAGGGCTCATGGATCTTGAAAGGTGCGTTGTGAGGGATATTGATCATCATCATATTGATCATCATCATAGCGGCAGGTTTTGCATCTGTCATGAGTTGGTCGGTGTAGTTTGTGAGGAGCTTACTTCTGATGATGAGCTTAAAGAGGTTGGAGCATTGTTTGAAGGCCAGTCGAGGGGCTTTAGGAAAGATTTATTTCAGCATGTGGTCCCCATCGAGTATGGGTTGTAACTGTTTAATTGTACTTTGTATGGGTTCCAGTGTGGGGTGATAGATGACAAGGGGTGTGTGTATGTTTGGAGGGGTGGTTTGTTTGTTTGTTTTTTGCTTCTGTATGAAGCAAGTTTTCTCAGGGTATTTGGGAGGCACTTTCCGTAGAGTGATCTGCTTCTCTGGTGAAATGACCTTGTTTGGTGAAGTTAAGTGTGTTTAAGGTTTGTTGGACTTTCTCCTCAGAACACATTCTGTGAATCTGTGTGCCTGGCTTTAGATAACTGGTTTCTAGGTGTGTTTGGGATGGTTAATGGATCTTTGAAAGTAAATTTGGTAATCCATGGGTTTCTTGTATATATTTGTCTGTGGGGTTCCATTGTTGTAGCTGATTGTAGTGTTCAGGAAGATGACAGTGAGGGAATGTTCTGGAGAGAATTTGATGGATGGTTGATGGTAGTTAGATTTCCACCATAAATTCATGTGGGAATTTAGGTCATCTGTCCAGAGGATGAAAATACCATCAATGTATCTCAGGTATATGACTGGTTTCATGATCCATTTGTCCAGAAACTCTTCCTCAATGTGTCCCATGAAGAGGTTGGCATATTGGGGAACCATCCTAGCACCCCTGGCTGTTCCCATGGTTTGGACAAAGTGTGTGTTTTTGAGTGTAAAATTATTATGGGTGATGATGAAAAGTGTTTGGGGTGAATATCTGAGTGTTGTCTTGTAGATATTTGAAGCAGGCAGAAATGCTATCATTGTGAGGAATGTTGGTGTATAGGGAGGTGCCATCCATGATGTCAAGGATTGTGTTCTGAGGGAGGTTGTTAATATTGTAGAGTTTCTGGAGAATGTCAGTTGAGTCCTGGAAGAGGCTGGCCCTCTGTGTGGTGAGTGTGTTGAGGATGGTTTCTATGAGTCCTGATATTTCTTAAGTGAGAGTGACTTGGCCAGATATGATGGCTCTGCCTGGGTTCCCTTGTCTGTATATCTTGGGAAACATGTTGAAGGTCCCTGGGGTGGGTTTGTCGGGGATAAGGTTGTAAAATTTCTCTTGGAGTTGTTTGGGGAAGGATTTGGTGATATTGTGAAAATTCCTGGGTAAATTCTGATGTGGGGGGGGTCTTCTTTGAGTTCTCTATAGTGGATGGTGTCAGAGAGTTTTTTGGTTGGAGTCCTCAGTGTACTCATCACAGTTGAGAACTATGATGGCACCCCCTTTGTTTGCTGATATAATGGTTGGATTTCAAGGACTGCACAAGCGCCCTCTTGGCAGTGGAGAGATTGTGGTGGATGTGATATTTGTTAAGAATTTCATAGTCAATTTTTTCCCCTGAAGCAATCAATATAATCAAGTGTGTGGTTTTATCCACTGTGGGGTGTCCAATTAGATGATTCTTTTTTCTGATGACTGTCAGTGGGGACACAGTAGTTGTGGTAATGTGGTCATTGTTGTGAAAGAATTCTTTGAGGTGGAGTCAGCAAAAGAATTCTAATTCTCCATGTTAGTTTGGTATCAGGTTCCAGAGCAGAAGTTCAGTCCCTTGGAGATCAAAGATAATTCAACTACAGTTAAGGGTAGTCTTGATAAATTGATTATATGGGGCATCGTTTAGTGTCAATCAAGCACTAGGCTCTGGAAAGAACTGACTCAGAAAAATAAGACAAAAACACCATATCAAACATGGATGAATACTTTTCACAAAATGATCACTCAATATCTGCCCTTTTGGTCTTCATTCTCAAAGGAAACCTATGTAACACCTTCAAAAGATTAGCCTTGGAGCTTATTTTTTAAATTTTGCTAGACACTAAAAATAATGGTCTTAATAAAGACACTGGATTTATGGCTTATTACAACGCTCTGTAACCCACTAACCCTCCCTTTTTTGTCCTAGGACTGCAAAGGTGTTAAGAGGCCACTTCACCTTGAATTCTCTTAGAATGGTTACTTATGGTAAACAATCTGTTTCGCCTTGTATTTATCTGACACTGAGTAACTTTCCCAGACCTGAAGAAGCTGTGTAGATCAAAAGCTTATCTCTTTCTCCAACAGAAGTTGGTTCAATAAAAGATATTACATCACCTACCTTGTGTCTCTAATATCCTAGAGGTATAAAAGGCAGCCATAGAGAGTGCTCCTGGAAGCTCAGCAGGCCTACATGCAATGGATTGGGTTTGAGTACGAATTTTCCTTAGTAGCTCCTCTCCAGAGCCACAAATAAATGCTGACATAGATTTTCCACCCTGGCTGCCTTCCAAACTGCTCTGAGGGGAAAAGAAATGGTGTAGGCAGTGTCTCCTCTTGTCCCTTTCTCTCTACAAAGATCACAGAGTTTGCATAGAGTAAGAAAATAAATTGAGATTAGGCTGGAGTTAGCTAGTACCTTTTACCTCAGTTTAGCAAACTGAGGTTAAGGATTGGCCTCAATTTGCTAAACCCACTAAATTGGGGTGTAAGGTGTAAACCTGTGTCTACACTAGGGAAAAGTCAAGGTTAGATCAGATTAATGCAAGTTAGCTAAACCCAGTGTAGCCGAGACCTTTTCTTACTGTAGAGAATCACATGGTGTGGGAAATCCGGGATCCATACCTGTGGCCAAGGGAAGAATAGTAGGACTCTGGGGTGATTGGAGAGAATGCCTGGAAAGCATTAGAGAATGCTGACCATCCTATTTGACTATTCCTCATATCAGTTCATTTTACGATATTTAAACCTTGTGAAAGAAAGTTTTCATTATTTTATTTTATTAACATATTTACTTCTAGCCATAATGAGGGAAAAATATTTGTAAATATCAGGTTGTTAAACAAAGCTCCCAGCCAGCTAGGGTTCTGGCAATGGTTACTAGACTTGAGATAATGGGAGGAAATTTAATCATGGGCTCAGTCTTAAAAGGAAAATCACAGGCAGCCATATTTGTTTGGGTTTTTTGTTTAATTTCCCTCACACACTTGTGCAACTGGCTTTCATTCATGTGAATGTTTGGAGAAGAGTTTTTATTTGTGAGACTACAGGTATCTGTTTCTTTACAAACAAATATATTCACTTTCCCAGCAAAAGATTACAAAAAAGATTACATTTATAAAAATCATAATATATTCATGGGAAAGTCACAAAAATATAAATAAAAACCAAGTCTGATCCGTTGTTCAGCATGAATAGTGCAAACAGCTTTAATTGTTTTTCTGTCTAGGATCTAACATTGGCACCCATCAAGAATGCCACATAGTACTGGCTAAGAGAAACAACAA